GTTGACTCAATCTTGGCCTATTTCTTGTTATGCCAATTAAATTATTCTGTGATAGGAAACATGTTAAATTATGAAATTGAGATTTTAGTCCCAATTGTTAGTACATTGTGATATCAAATTCTGAAACGAGTACACCATATGTGCTATGTTGAAACTAAAATTGGTAAATATAAAGCTAATTATCTAGCTTAAAATAATACATTTTCTCCGACATGAGTAAGAATTTCTCAGTATGCATACAGTCACGTTTCTGTACTGTCCGGAATGAAACATCTATGCAGACATTTTCAATGTGTCTCGACATTCCTATTGGTAAATATGGTATGGATTTTGTGATCAAACTGATGTATATTCTGTCAACATATCCAGACCTTATTCCTGCCATGTTTTGATTAGTGAGCTGATCCCAAGATGTCCATAATAATGGAAAAAGACAGTGCTAAAAAGCCAAAATTTTATATCAGCATGATTTTAAATCTGGTCTTATCGCTCCTTACTAATTCAGAGGCTTTGCTTCCTGTATTAGAAAAAATATAAAGGACAGTTCCATCACCGCCTAGTAACAGAAAACCTGACCGTCTTTTGTGTTGCATTTACATCCTGTTCCTTTAGTTAGCATTGCCATACAGTTCTACAGATGCACAATCTTTAGACCAAAAGTGACAGTTAGTTTTCAAGCAATTTAAAGCATAAACAGTTAAGAATTAGACATACCTGCCTGTGTATAACTTATTTATTGTGTTCAAGTGGACAGAACGAGATCTCAATTTGTTTTAAAATTGTGTTGTTCCTTTATGACATGTTGTCTATGTTGTGGTGGATTATAAAGTCATATTCTACAAATTTTTGTAATTTAAGCTCTTACATTCTATGATAACCTGAAGCTGATATTTGAAATACGTTTTGTTAAGAGTTCAAAGTTTTCTGTTATCAATGAAAACAAGTTATTGTAAGGGTTTCAAACAAATAATTTCATTGGGCAATTTAAATGTTTTGCTTTAATTTATAAAACTATTTATAGTCAACATTTGTGAGGGTTAATTAACAGAAATTTCAGATTCTTTTAATTGTTACAATCATCATCTCAAGCCGTCTTTTCTTGAGTTCAGAATGTTTCGGAAATTGATATTGATTATAATTGTTCTCTGGTAATTCATGTTTTCTAAATCAACACCATCTATTGCTCATCCTTACAGTCCCACAATCTCCAGATGCAGTATATCAATGAAAAAGAGATCCAAGGGAGCATGGAAAGGAGAAAAAGTAGAGGGCAAGGATGTTGTTCTTATTATGTATGAAGTTGTTGTAAATATTTATTAGGTAATAACTAAGAACTCAAGACTGAAAGGTGTATGTTAATATCCTATTTGTGCAGAAAAAATTCAAGCTGCAGAACATATTAAATTGATTTCCAAGCAATGAGACGTGTTATTTTCTTGTTAGAAATTTCTCAGAATCTGCTTTGCTTATGGCGCAATAACTTACCACAGCAAACAGTGTGCACCACTGATTAATGTAAAAGCAAACAGCATTTCTTGTGAATATTTGTTCAATAATAAGTATTTGGTATATGAAGAGACTTTTGTTCCTCATTAAATAGAGCAATTAACATTTTGTGGGGCTTTAGAAACACGTGTGTAATTATTAACTCTGCTAAAGATTCGACAGAGGACAGGGTGCTCATGGACCAACCCAAACCGTTTCCAGCGGCCGTTCAAGTATTTCAGGTCATGGCCCAATCAGGCTGAATCACACCCTTAGTACTTATTTCTGCGAAACATTGTCGGGTCCGCGTATTGACGGGGATGAATGGGAATAGACTGTGAGAAACTATACGGCCGGCGGTTCCATCCAAAGCCGACCCTTCTCAGAGGAACGAGGTCCCGACCAACTACCGTCCAATTTGGAATTGTTGAAACATGGTAGGGAGCGCCTGCCGCATAGGCCGTCCCGGTGGACACGCGAGCTCTGCGGGTTTGCCTATGCCCCCTCCGCAGGCGCCCTCAGCCACAACTTGCCCCGGCGTTCCCCACGCAGTACGCACGGGTCGGGGGCCACGTCCCTGTTTGTAGCGACACAGTTGCAGCTACAACCGACACCGTTGGTTAAACTGTACTAACCCACCACAGGTCATGGAGCTTCTATAAAACGTCCCTATTTGTGGCCACAATGCCAGCGGTCAGAGTCAGCTTAATCCGACCCGACTGTAGAACATTCTTTTTCGGGTAATATGAAATCCGAAGCCTTCAAGGTGTAAGCAGAAGGCAAGGGCCTGCTCTGCACATAATCCCCGGATGCAGCTGAACCAACACAATGGGGCCCGGGGCCCCCCAAACCTAAGGGACAGCTTGTGTACTGATTGCCTACCCTCCAGGCGCCCTCAGACACGACTCGCCGCAAGGGTCACCCTCCTCGCAGTACGAACGAGTCGGGGGCCTACGGCCACGGCGAGCTGGCCTACCTCCCAGGCGCCCTCAGCCACAATTTGCCCTGGTGTCCCCCACGCAATACGAACGGTTCGGGGGCCACGTCCTTCTTTGTGGCGACACAACCGACACGGCGACACGGCCACTGGCAGCTTTGATCAGAACCGACTGAAGAAAATAAGTCCGCTCGGCATCGTAAATGCTCACGCCTTTCTTCTCACACCCGGACAAAAATAAAAAATAAAAATGGGGGAGTAATTTTCTCATCCCACCGCAGGACGACTTCTGAGTTCGGAACGGGATCAGCCGAACCACAGTTGGTCAGAACATACTCCCGGTTTGTGAGACGGTTGACACGACACGTACGTTGATTAAACTGTACTGACCCACCACAGGGCATGGAGCTCCTTTAAAGCCAGATTCTAGGTCTTATTAGTGCACCTGCCACCACAGCGCGGTGCCAGGCACCAGGGAACTCCCACTATACTTTCCCGCACGTTTGGTTTTACTACCCCAGGGGGCCGTAGCGCCTAACGGGCGTTGCAGGTAGGCAACACGCACGCCTGCGTGCGGTACAGCATAACCACGACGACTGGCGTGTTCGCCTACCCCAGGTGGCCGGAGCGCCTTGCGGGCAGTGTGGCACTAAGCTTTAGACGTGAATCACCTCCGTGCAACCGGCAGTTAAAATACCTCTTAGAGCCGGATTCATTTTTCCTACAAAATTATCAAAAATGAAAAAAAATGTGGGCCCTACCCACCCCGCTTTGACACGGGGACCCGCCTGCTTAACTTCGGAGTTCGGTATGGGATCCGGTGTTTTCAGGCACCCAGCTGAGGGCCGGGTTTCCTGACTATCTCGCTCACACCGGAGTTTACAGCCATCGACTAGGTTCCCACCAGTCCGCTTGACCGGGAATGGGGGGCAGGTAGGTAGCGCCGCGGGAGTGCCGGCTCCTGCGCCCGGGCGTGTTGGCACGCTTTCAGTAAAACGCTTCGTTCTCGAGAACCAGGCGTCGTAGAGAAATTTCAAAAAGACGACTAAAAAGCTGAAAGTCAAGCGAACAATCGGCTCGCTTTATGTATAGGTCTAGGACGTCTCTAAACACGAGAAATGACGGCTCCAAAACGGCCGGTGTACACTTTGAACCGGAATCGTCATTCTATACTTCTTTGCGTCACCATTTGGCTTCAAAGTACCAATATCTTTACAGAATAATGATCATTGTTCTTTCCCCTTTCCAAAAATATATGGGTTAGTCGATTTTGAAGATGATTTGGCTTTGTTACGCCGAGTTTCGCGTATCCCTGGCGCTCGATCGACCAACCGACCGACCGACCAGCCTCGCTTAAAGAGATAGCCCTCAGCAGATAGCCCTCTTTCGAGGAGCCAGATTCTAAGGACTTATCAATTCCCCTCGGGTTACCACTCCCGCTGTGGCTGGGATGGCCCTTACCCGGCACGCTTTCGCCGCTATTTGTGTAATCCCCTAAACAATCAATGTGTGTTGCAGCTCATTTATTTATTTTTATTTGTAATGTAGCTTTGATAGAGCTTTACAAGTCAATATACATGATAGAATGTACTATTTGAATTTGGTGAAACCATTGTTAAAAGGCTCTTCTATTGAGTAATTGTAGCAGGAGGTTAGTTGTGCCGCTCTAGTGGCTCCATACACTTATTATTAGTTGTAATATATTGCTGATGATGTAATAGATGATGCCTGTCTTGAAACTTGGCTCACTGTAGGTAAGCTTTGTTGAAACGGTGTCGAACAACTTGCACGTTTTAGATTGGACGTACAATGCAGTTTTGCTGATTTTGCTAACTGCGTATTTTATATCATATTAATTTACTCTGTATTATTCTTTGTGGAACAGCAAAATGTATTAAGTCAGGTTAGGGTCTAGGCTTTGATAGTCAACTGCTGAGGGCTTTAGCGCTATTGAAACAATCAATGTGTGTTGCAGCTCATTTATTTATTTATTTTTATTTGTAATGTAGCTTTGACAGAGCTTTACAAGTCAATATACATGATAGAATGTACTATTTGAATATGGCGAAACAATTGTTAAAAGGCTCTTCTATTGAGTAGGGCTTCATTGCTAGTAAACACCTCTTAAGCACAGCTTACTGTATTTTTTTCATATTCTTGAGGTCCAGGTCCTGGAGCGATTCGCAAGCGGCGACGGCCTCCAGCCCGGTCATACTGCTGCACTTCTGCTGGCGGAGATTCGGCAAGCCACCCAGTAAGCAGTGTTGCGAAGTGGCAGCGGACGTTTTTCCTTCACGGGCGGCAACAAAATTTCCCTTTAGCCTACAAATTTTCCCTTTTGGGGCACTTTTTCTAAAAAGCCCTAGCAAAATGGATACATTTTGGACTCAAAAATTCCCTTTGTTTTCCCACGGGCTCTTAATAACATCCATAATTATTGATAACTCCATAACATGGAAAATTCATCACGACTTCGCAACGACACTGCCAGTAAGTGGCCAGTGAAGTCCAGCCGGAGGTCGTAGCTCCGATGGCCGACGTCAACCTTCTGGAGCGTGGCCGCGTGTCCGGCCAGGATGAAGTTCACAAAGTGCTCGGTCTGCGGGACGAGCTCGCACCGGAAAAATCTAAGTGAAGGCGTCGACACGGGGCTGCCCAGAACAGCAACGGCAGCGGCCGTGGCCGTTACGTGATATGTTAGTCCCGTGACTTGAAGCTCCTCCAAGTCAGCCGTTGTAGCCAGAGTTCCCAAAACGTAGGAGACGTCGTCAAGGTTACGGCCAAAATGGACTTGAACGCTCCTCAGACGGCCGAGCGCCTCCTGCCTGCAGATCACCGCTGCTGCGCGCATCGCGTCGTAGTCTTTGCGTAGAGACAGGGACAACCTTGTTACAGCGCACCTGGTCGCAATGTACGCGAGGCCACATCGGCGACGATGCGGGAGTTCTACACTCAGGGAAGCGACGCGCGGCGCGAGTCGCAGCACGGGGCACACGCATCGGTAGCCTGGCAGTTGTCGATGCCGCCACACGTCCCGGTGCAGCGCCAGGCCGCCGACCCTCTTGCACACGAGGCGGCAGGCGAGGAGGCCCTCCACGTCCAGGTACTCCATCAGCGTCACGAGCACGTCGTCCGGCAGGTGCTCCATGTCCTGCGGGAACACAGAGCATGACAGTGGTGAGCTTCAGCTTCTTTGCACACCGCGATCGCTCAAGGACGCTCCCGACGCGACGCCGCCACTGTCGACTTACCTCTTTGTTTTGAGCTGACGACCGAACCCGATCGGCAGGAGGGAAAGTGGACTGCGACTCTGCCAGAGGTGGTGTTGCGAGATGCGATGTGTGCGCTGTGCACTTAGGACCTGAAGTGCCTGGGCTGGTAACTGCGGAGCGGACCAGGGCTGCCAGGCCAGGCGTCTGCTGACTGCGACTGGGGAGTGGGGATGGGGATGTCCCCGGACACATATGGGACCTCCCTTCGAGTAGCCCCCCCCCCCCTCCTCCTT